CAAGATTATCCTATCGAGCAAAGCTATCCTTTAGAATGGAAGGGCAGATAAAGTGCTTTCCAGATAAGGTCAAGTTAACGGAGTTCATCATCACCAAGCCCTTATTACATGAAATGTTAAAAGGACTTATCTAAGAAAAAGACTGTCAGGAACTATGAACAGTAAAATGCCAACAAAATCACAACTATCAACAACTGAACCTAAACAAAACAAAACAAAACAAAAATTAAGCAAAGAACTAGAACAGGAACAGAATCACAGAAAGGGAGATCAGCAGGAAGGGGGAGGGAGAAGAATGGGGGAAAGGTACAGGGAATAAACAGCATAAATAGTAGGTACAAAATAGGCAGGGGGAGGCTAAGAATAGTAATAGGAAATGGAGAAGCCAAAGAACTTATATGTACATGACATGAACTAAGGGGCAGAGGGAGTGCTGGGGGAAGGAGTGGTGCAGGGTGGAGGGGAATTAAGGGGAGGAAAAAAATGGGACAATTGTAATAAAATAATAAAATGTATACTAAAAAATAAAAACTTTTTAATTAAAAACATAAACAAAAAAAATCAAAAAACAAAAACAAGAACCAATGCAGTATGTGTTGCCCCATTTTTTACTGATGTGAAAAAAAAGATAATTGAAGTAATGAAAATGAAAATGAAATGTGTTTATTACATTTATGAAGGCAGCTTAAAATGTTTAAGGGAATTAATTAGAGCAAAAAATCCTATCAAAAATGAATATTACATCTTGGCAAATTTATAAATTTACCAAATCAGTAAAATATTAACTAAAAACACAGAGTAGTTTTTAAATAATCTTTTGTGTGCACAAAATTGCCCCCAGATGCATAAAATAGCCTCATTGACAAGTTTATCAGAATCGGACTGTTTTATTGAGAAATTTCTGTATTTGTCAGTCATTTCTCTGAGCTAATTTTCCAAGGGAAAAAAAAAATCCTCCAGTCTCCTCCATGTGCAGAAATAATCTGCAGCAACAGGGCTGGCTTTATGGCTATATAACTGTGCAGTCACACTTAGAGGGAATTCACACTTGTTTTTGCTCTGCTGTTAATGTCTTGAAATTTTTAATACTTTTTAAAACAAGGAGCCCACATTTTTATTTGGCACTGGCCCTGCAAAATATATAGCCGGTCCTGCCTGGCAGTCAGAGTTCTGGCAGCTACACTGTGGGAGAGGGCTAGAGTTTCAAGGTTCATTACACAGCTCCCTCCGTCCCCCAGCATCTCTGTGTTTTCTGAGTTGCCTCCCTCTCACCTTCAGTTGTGCCCATTGTCCACCAGCCCACAGCTTCTCAAGCCTAACTTTAAAAGATCCCTTTTTCTGCCAGGCTAGGAGGGACTGTCAGAGGCCATATGGGCTGGAGGAGGAGATGGGAATTCGTGGGTCTAATTCCTCTACTTTTGCCTTGTTCTGTGGTAGGATTCAGCTCACCTTTTGAGACTTTCTCCCCTGTGGACACTTGCAAAGTGGACAAAATGAAAACAAAATTAATTACCAGTTATTCTATTGCCAAATTTTGTCAACAACGCCAAGTCTGTCATATCACCCCCTCATTTGTTGCTCTTGTGGGCTTATGCCTTTTGTTCCTTTAGTTTTATTGTAGTGAGGTTTTGAGAGACAGGAGATGAAATACAAGTGTTCAATCTGCTGAGTATGACCACTAGTCTTAATTGAGTTTCTATAGAAAAAAATTAGCCCTTTTTTGGCACCTAATTTTTGTTGGTTTACATAATACTTAGTTAAATTATGTAATTACAAGTAGAACTACCATAAATAAACTTAAGAACAAACCCAGTTGATGCTTGCTTGGTAAATACACAACTCAGTCAGTGGGAACAGAAATGTGTGGGCATCAGTTTATTTTACATAGGAAATGAAAATTGTGGTTAAACTGGGTGAGTGAATTAAATGAAGATTAACCGAGTTTCTGCTTTAAATATTTGAATATAGGACATTCATAAAGAGGGTACATTATTGAAAGTCCAACAATTTGGCTCCTTGAACAACAAATTTAATTTTAAAGAAGCTTATCTGTCTTTAAAAACTCAAACAAATGCTTTTGTAGGATCAGGCTCTTCTCTGCATTTTGGCCATGGATACTATTGATGTCTTCAGACTGACGTCCCAGACTCTGGACCCTTATCTGTCCTAACTTCTAATTATCCTCTCCTACCTCTGCCTTGATTTCCTAGTTGGACTTTTGACTTGCTTTGACCTTAAAGGCCTTGGTTTGCATCAGTGAATTGATACTTTACATTCCCTCCTATCTCCCTGTCATAGGTACCTGGTTCCTTCAGGCTCTAGCTTTTTGGGGTTTCTTAAGGGCAAAACTGACTTGCCTTTCTATTGGCTTCCTCCTTTGCAGGAAGTCAGATTTAAGTCTCTCTGCTCTCAGTTAGTTACTCACTCATTTATTCACTTTCCATCTTCCAGACTTCTGGTATTTTTCATCTGTCTTCTCCCATATTTGCCTTTGAAGAGTTTATACTTTTTTTTTTTTTTAATAGTATTCCCTTACTCTCCATTTAATGGAGGTTCTTAAGGCAACAGAGTTGCTGCTTGTCTTTAGTAGTTTATGTTTGACCTTCTCTCTACTATGATAGCTTCCTATTTTCTAAATTCTTGATCTCCTGGTTCTCTAGCAAATTGGACCCTCCATTTTTAAGCTTCCCAGACAAATTTAAAAAGGTATCTATCCAGCCTTTTCCTGAGATTGCATAGCAGAACCCTATTTGATCTGTGGTTAATATGCAATCAGAAACAAGTCAATGTGAATTAACTTTTGTAAATATCAATTAAAAATCAAGGAACTTTTTGTGGTAAAGGTTAAGTGTGATCAGTTTAAAATCAAGCTTACCTGAGAAATTTCCTCTTGATTGGCAAATAAGACTCATAAGGTCTGATGAGTTTTTTCCTTTGGATGTGAAAAAGAATATTTAGGAGCTGGGAGTTAAAATTTTCCTTAGAGCAAGAGGGCAGTTGTAGTCTTTCCTGAGGCTACAGCAAATATTTTTTTGTGCTATTGCATAGGCACTTTCAGATTCTAAGCTCCTTTACTGGGAGGTAGGTGGAATTATGTAATTCTTTTCATCTTTCATTATTTAAAAGCATATAACTTTTTCATATTTTTGTTTTGTTTCTGCAGGAGTACAGTCAGTTCCTTGAGGACTATCAGAGGATATTTGACATCTTAGCATCTCTCAGTGCCACAAGAATGGGGACATACTATAAGGATGAAGTTGTATGCATGAGCTCATTTACTTTTTTATAACAACCTATGAGGTAGGAACTATTGTTACTGTAACTTTATAGATGAGGACACTGAGGCACAAGTTACCCAGCTCCAGTAAGAGGTACAGCTGGAACTGACTCTACTTGGCTGATTAGCCAGGTTAGCTATATCCGACCCTATTATCCCATAGCATTTGCCTTCAATGAACAGGTAAAGAGCTTTCTGGCCCTTGGCCAGGTTGCTCAGTTGGTTGGAGCTTCATCCTATACACCAAAAGGTTGTGGGTTCAATTCCTGGTCAGGGCACATACCTAGGTTTCAGGTTCGATCCTCGGTCAGGGCATGTTCAGGAGGCAACTCATTGATGTTTCTCTCTCACACTGATGTTTCTGTCTGTCTGTCTCTCTCTATCCCCTGCTTCCTTTCTTTCTATAAATCAATGAGCATATCCTCAGGTCAGGATTTAAAAAAAAAAAAAAAAAAAGACCCATGAAAGGTGTAGCTCAGTAGATTGGGCATCATCCCACAAACTGAAAGGTTGCAGGTTCGATCCCCGGTTGGGGTACATGCTTGGGTTGTGGGTTGGCCGCTGGTTGGGGGGGCAGTGCAACTGATTGATGTTTCTCTCACACAATGTTTCCTTTACCCTCTCTCTAAAAATAAATAAATAAATAAATAAATAGTTTTAAAAGAGCTTTCTGGGAAGATAGATCTGGGGCTTCATGGAGCTTAATGAATAGGTTATATGACTGCTTGCTAATAAATGTTGGAGGAATTTGGCCTGAGGCTATCGTTCACTGTAACATACCATTTGGAGCAAGGCTATGGAGAAGCCCCATGGCTCAACCTATATATGGACTATTAGAGGCTACTAATGCATGGCCCAAAGAAGCCACTAAATGTGAATGACCAAAGTGACTTAGGTTAATTTGTAACCTCTTTTTTCCTTAGTTATTTCCAACTGGATGAAATCTAGTCTGAGAGAGTCAGATAATGTGAAGATTTATTATACATCTCTATGTGGTCACTACTGGGGCTACAGTCTCTGACATGAAGCCCTCCCGGCAATGTGTGAGCATTTGGAACACAGGCAAGGCCTATGGGCTAGAATTTCAAACAACCAGCAGTTAGAAATTTAATGTTGTCTCCAAGCACTATAGATCTCCTGGTTATTTCCAATTCCAATAGGAACAGGGTTATGGTCAAAGCCACTGAAGTTAAAATGATTGTAGCTCTAAGGATGGCCCCTCCCCTTTCTTTTTGGTTCACTGTGAAGGACATTCTGCCCCAGTAACCTTGTCTCTCTCCTTCTCTGCACCTATCTCATATGTCTTCATTGGGTGCTCCTCTATCTCCAGTAGCTCCAAGTTCCAAACACACAGAAGACTTTTAGCCTAGCTGCTTGTTTCATATCATAAGTACTCTGGTTAATTGCTTGTGAATTGCAGGCCTATTTAGATTTTGTGGTGAGAAGCACAGAATGGTACTTTAAAAATATCTTAAGTGAAAAATATATATGAATATAATTAATGAAGATCAATAACCTAAGTATAGAGTCTATATTATCCAATATAATTGATGATACTCTAGACTACACTCCCGAGGCTGATTTCACACAAACTTTTAAATTTTGACTTCACAGTAATTTGAAAAGTGATATGCACAGTAAATTTTGGAGTTTCTCTTTTCCTCTTAGTCTGTCTAAAACAATGCTGTTTAATAGAACTTCATTTATTTTTTATTTTTTAAATTTTTTTTAGGAAAAATCAGGGTGTTGCAAGTCCTGATTACACAGAGCTGTTAAGCACAAATCATGTGAACTCCATTTATCACATTCCAATCTGCCCTCCCAAAGGAGGGACAGGTAAGGATTACTTTACCTGATGGTAGAATAGTGTTGTCTGATAGAACTTTAAAGAAAGTTCTAATCTGTGCTGTCCAATAAGGTAGCCACTAGTTATATGTGATTACTGAACACTTGAAATGTGGCTAGTGCAACTGAGGAACTGAATTTTAAATTTTATTTATTTTAATTAATTTAAATTTAAATAGCTACTTGTGATTCATGCTCACCATATTGGTCAGAACAGATCTAGAATCCAGTGATGACCTTATAACAGGATATTCTAGGTTACTTTTCAGCCACAAAGAACCCTAAAATCTTGGTGATTGATAAGAACAAAAGTTTGTTTGTTGCTTCTGTTATGTAAGTATTTGGGGTTGGCTGGGGAGCCAGGTGGATAACGCAGCCACCTCTCACATGCTGGCAGTCATTACAGAAAGTGTGGCACCAGTACTTAAGTGCTCTGGCCCAGGCAGGATGCACATCACTTCTGCTCACAGCTCACTGACCAGGACACAGCCCCACCGGGCCGAGGAGCAGGAGTGCCATCCTGTGTCAGGGGCTACAAGCCCCAGCAATGGCTGCTGCAGACCTGAGCCTCCCTCTTAAGGTACAGAGAAGAAGTCCCCAAGGGGTAAGGAAAGCACTTTTACCTGCATTTCCTTGAAAAGTGAAGAATTGAGTTCCTTTAGAATTCAGTTGTCCTTCACCTCCTGGATACTCACTGCACAATTTATTAAAAGCAGGTAAAATACTGAAAGTAAAATTCACTTTTGATAAAAAGAAAAAGAGACTATATAAAGTTTAGCTAACAACAGTCAGCATGTCTTTTTAGTTATACATAGAAATATCATAATATGAAGCTCTGCAACGTAAGGAACAATCAATGGGTTGTTCTTTATGTTTGGGATGAAAATGGAACAGAAGAAAATGTATGTTATTTTTCCTGGTACAGAATAGATGTGGTACATTTTTCACTAGCAAGGAAAAAAGTCCTTTTCTTTAAAAATAATAACTCACTAGGAACAATTTTAGATTGTAGTTGCCTAAAAAAAAGAAAACCTTTAAATATTTATTAACTGGGCAAATTAATTACCAGTATTTAGGCCAACATTTGATGGCATGCCTTGATTCTTTCTAGAATACCTACAATATTGTTTGGACCTCCAGACATGGGGGAGTCACCAACTGAAATCTGATAATAGACTTCCTATAAAGCAGTAGTGACAGTTTCCTGATAACAAATGCTTCAATATTAAGACATGGAAACTTAGCACTTGGCTGAGAATAATAAATTGCACCAAAGTTACAAATGAAAACCAAGTCCTGGTAAATAACATTAGTGATGACGACAATTTTGTTACATGCTGAAAATGCCACATAGATTTTAGCATTATGAGCATACGATAGCTATCTAGAGTGTAATTGAACCAAACTGATGCTTGAGAGAAATTTCCAACTAAGTGTGCAAATTAGGCTACCAAGTATAAACAAGAACTATCTCAGTCACCTTGCTCCTCCATGAAACACAACGATATAAGCCATTTAAGCAGCACAACATTTGTTTTCAGTTCGCAAGGTCTATCTGGGTAGTCTACAACTGGGGGCATGGGAAGAAAAAGAAAGCTGCAAAGAGTGAACAAAACGCATGCACTGTGGTATCCTTTATTTAAAAATTGTGAGCTAATTACAGTTGTAGTGTTCTCATTTACCATTCTGATGGCATAGTAAACTGGGAGAACATTAACACAACTCCAAGAAGGCATCAAAAACCTGTAAACAAACGTACACACCACACATGCGTACACACAAACAACATACACACACATAGATTATAGTCTAAACACAAAAGTGATGAAGAAAAGCTCTGAATGCTCTAAATCAAATTAAAAACTCTTTGTATAATAAACTGTGGCAATACTGTGGCTATTATGAAAAATATTGTAACTGTTTAAAAAGAAAAAAAAAGCAAACAAAACCAAAATCCTGGCAATTTGAAACTAGTAGCAAAAAGCAGATAAGATAGAATGGAAGATAACATAAGACTAAGTAATATCAAAATTCTAATGTTGATACCGTGTAGGATTGCACTGAAGTAATTTAAAATTGGTTCTTGAGGAACTATTAAAAAGTCCCTTGAAATATTAAATCACTGCACTTTATAAACAGTGGAAAAGAATAAAGTATTTGGAATGTTACACACACACGCAGAGGAAATGTATTAGGCATATCAGTTTATGGTCTGTGTTTAAGACCCTCATAAAGTTTTATAAAGAAAAATTTAAGTGCCAATGTAGTGAAAGAAAGTTAAAAATTCCTAAAGATGCAATTCTGAGTGCATTTGTCAGGTCTAAGACTATATTTCAAGGCTGGGGGCAAGGGATGATTGACGCACATTCAAGGAAAAAACCATCAGGAACCCACAAGGTAGGCAGAGTTCTCTGGAGAGGGTTCAGAATGAAGGTATGTTAAACTCAGACTACCCTGAAGGAGAATCCAAAGTATGTAAAGTTCTACAGCTCTTCATTAGTTGAAATCTGTTTCATAGTGCCCAATAAATAACTAAGACTAACATTTCAGCAAACTGGTTTTTCATACAAACACAAAAATCTTTACTATACATGCAGAGCTGATATTCTATAACAGCACAAATAAGAATCCTGGTTTCAGAAGAAAAGCAAATGGCAAGGATTTTTTCCCCCTATGGTTTCTTGTAAAAATGTCTGAAGCTGCTAGACATCTGAAAGAGGGGTAAGTTTAGATTTCCTACTGGTTTGGAAAGAAAGGAGGTTTCATCTTAAAGCCAACCATCCATGAGCAGGGAACCTTCCTTCAGAATCTAAGTGTAATGTCCTTAGTGCTTAAACTCATGCCAAGTTCAGATCCAGAAAAACTGGCACGTAGAACAGGGGGAAGGAAGAGCTGAATGTCTACAGTATACTTTGGAATAAAATGTGCCTTGTAAGTTAAAACAGTTCCACGGCTTTCAGAGTGAAATGCTTCAGTCTGGAGGAGACCCAGGCCTCTGAAGTCAGGAGCTGGGAGAGGGACCTCCATCTGCAGGGGCCTCTGGGCTGAGCTGTGGCTGCAGGGCCTAATTTTTCATGAGTGCTTTCGGTTGGGGAATTTGTGACTTTGCCCAGAAAAATATTTATTTTGGTCGCTTTCTCTCTAAAATCAACTGGTTGGGCAAGTTGCTGTGATATACCAAAATGAAATTTAGCTGTAGTAGTATCTTAAGGTGCCAGGTAATTGATATTAATGCCCCTCAATAATGCTGCTAGGTATGTACTGCTGTTGCTGAAGAACCGACCCCCAAATGACCTAACTAGGTACTCTATTACACTAGGTGCTTTTACTGTCTTGGGTTTTTTGAGCTTTAGAGAAATAGTCTTTGTAATATGACTTAGAAACTGCTTCTCTCTGGCTTTGTTTCACTCTTCCTCTTCTTCCTCTTCCCCTTCCCCTTCTCCTTCCTCCATGGTTTCCACAATGAGTTCCGCAGTGCAGGTGGCTTCTCCAAGACTGTTGACAGCCTTGCAGGTGTACTTGGCATCGTCATCCCCACACACATCGCTAATGATTAAAGAACAGTTCCCATCCTCATCGTAGTCTATCTGGAAGTGGCGGGACTCCCTGATGGACTGGTCGTCTTTGAACCAGACAACCTCAGGGTCTGGGTATCCTGCATCACAGGAGGGAACACAAGTAGCAGAAACTATCATTCAGAATTTCTTATCAATGCATTTAAGGAATTCCCAAGCTACCTCTATTAATTAATGCAGTAAAGGAAAAAAACTATGATATGGCCTTTTCGAAGCTGTTTTGATATTTACGTTTGCATAGGGCATGCACTGTAAATACTAATATCTGAAACTCCACATGAGGCATTTTGCAGTCATCCCATTTCCCACCCATGCGGGGTTGCCCCACTTCCCACCCTAGAACAGACACAGAAGACTGCCTGAAACACTGCCACACAGTCAGCTACATGCCTAGAGCCAAATATATTCTGGGATGAAATGGAACTTTTTCATCTTGTATAAAAGTTGAACTTAAATAAATTTAAATAGAAAGTAAGATTCAGAACAAATAGGCACAAGGGATCTTTTAGGGGGTGATGGAAATGTGCCAAAATTGGATTGTGGTGATGATTGCACATTTCTGTAAATTTACTAAAAATAATTGAATTGCACACTTAAAATGGGTGAACTATATGGTGTGTAAATTATAATTCAAAGTTGATAACAGATCTATAAAACATAAGTTAGAGGAGCTGGTAATATTGCTAAGAAGAAGTAAACAGTATTTGTTTTAGTCTGATCCAAAGCAAAGATATAATCTGCCTATAAATAACTGGAAATTGACCACATTAATGAGCATCATTTTATGAATTAATCATGTTTCTGCAAACTTCAGTGTTAAAAAATACATATATATATATATATAATATGCCTTTGAAATATATAATAATTCTAACTAACTAGTTTTTAAATTTTGGAAAAATATTTTTAAGGAAAAAATATTGTAGCCCCAACCAGAATAAAAATTACATTTAAGAACTTAAGAATTTTAACATTCTTTTCAGGTAGAATTTTTTTTCAATCAAAACAGCATCCATATGCTTTAATTTCTCAGTGATCCAGTTGAAGTTATGCAAATACCAAATGAATAATGCCAAAGAGCAAAATACAAAGATAACAGTCATTATGTTATAATAATTTTTTTAAATAGAAAAAGGGGAAAGGATAGGACTTTAGAAAATCCAAAGACGATGAGTATGGTACGAGTTACAAGCAATGGCTGGAAGGCTTTGGGCAGAAGACCCGATCTGAGCACTTCCACACTAACAAAGGCAGTGCACCACATTTAAAAAACTGAATGAAAAGAGAGGAAGATTATAGTGCGCAAGACATTTGCAAGGCATTTTGATAATATAATGACACAGGTGAAAAAATGTTTTTTTCATTCCTAACTTTGGGTTACTTTACTCAAAAGGCATTAGCTAGACATATTACTGGACAATCTTACGAAGTGGGAGGATGATTTGTTCTGACTGTCCTGTGCTATGCAGTCTTGGGAAAGTTGTTTAATGAACATCTGTACTTTATATTGTTAGACTGAGATGGGAGATAACCGTCCACTCTGGTTGGCACATGACAGTCACAGACTCGAAGCCTGTCTTACTATGCTCTGGGCCATCATCCTTGTGAGAGCCTCTCATGGGCACAGGCTCCCTAAGAACTTAAAACTTCATTTCATTAAGGACGTTCCATAGCCAAATACTATTGTCCATGACAAATCACTTTTAATTTGGGTCTAGTGGCTGATGTAAGTAAGTGAAACATCAAATGCGCCCCTAGGCATGTCATTCAATGGCACTAACCTTCAGAAGGAGGAGTGGGGACATTGGGTCAACTCCTTCTGACACTGTTTCCCATGACCCATAGCCTGGCTGTTCCTAATTGCTCCCAGAACTGACACCTTGCTCAGGACACACAGTTGGGGCCCACCAGCCAGCCAAACCCCTTTTGTAATGAAAGAGCAGCTTCAACTTACCTTCAATCTTGCAGTCAAATCTAGCAGCACTTCCCTCCACAACTTCTAAATCACGAATGGTCTTAGAGAAGTAGGGTTTTACATGGGGCTTTTCCTCAGCAACAGCCTCCAGGAACGCTTGGGAGACATCCCCTAGAAGACAGGGGAGATGTGGTCATCTGCATTCCATGTTCTTTCCTTTTCCCTAGTTTAAAAAAGCTGCCTTAAAATATATTTTTTTTAAGTAGCTCTAATTTAGCAAATAATGCATCTTAGAAGACTAAATCATCAGCACACCTTTCTCCTGGGGATAGGCTGGTCCGCTGCCAGATGGTTTTGGCTAAAGAGAAAACTATGACCAAACTGGGGAAATGTTTGAACTCCCCACTTCCCTTACGCTGACACATTGAAAAAAGAAATAATCTTCAAAAAGGATTTTTGGCTGTATTTCATGCTGTTTCAGGATTCAGTTGAGAGTATCTAAGAAGGACAGAACCACACCAGCCTTCCTGATCTCTGCACCTCTTTGCCCTCCCCCTGTAGTGCAAGGCTCTTCCCTGCTCCTTAGCAGGGAGGAGCCAGGTCCTAGAGGCATCTTTGACTTGCCAGTCGTTGGAGTCTCCTTGCTTACACTGCTTTCACAGTGTTGGACAGCCAACCAGGATTTGGGATTCGTCCAGGGAAAAGCCGGAACTTGGAGGGGCTCCTATACCCTCCCCCTCCCTTCAGGCTATTTGTGGGTCTTCCTGGAGTGGCAGGAGTGGATCAGGAGGGACAAGACTCAGGAGCTGCAGACTCTGTCCCTGCTGCATCTGAGCGCATGGCCTCACCAATGACACTGCCTTTGTACACAAAAGGGATCCTGATGCAGCTCCTCACCTTTGGATGGCAGGCAGCAGGGGGTGCAGGGCTGGAGCAGGTGTCTCTGGCCAAACAAGTCACCTCAAAAAGATAAGGGCCAGGCCCTGCGTGCAGCTGATGCAGGAAGAGGCAGAGGCATTTACCGAGGAGAGGGACAGGGCAGCATCTCAAAGCCAGTGGGGAAGTAATTAACCCTCCTGGTCTCCAGAAGACGCGCCTCTAATCACAGTCCACCCAGTTCAAATGACATGTTTCACCATCATAAAAAATGCCAAATGAATATGGACTATATGAGTTAATTTTTATTTAAAAGGAAAACACAAAGACTAAAAAACAGGATTCTTTTAAAAAGTACACTAGTATATATGATTTAAGTTTTACGGTTGCCTATCAATACATAAGCATAACTTATGTAATGAGGAAAAAGGAAACTTTTAATAAAGCCTTTGCTAATTCTCATGTAAAATATAGGGAAAAGAATAGCGGAGGTCATCTAGTTCTATTAGACAAATAATTACTTTCCCTCTGAAAATAGTTAAACCTAAGTTAAAACGATTAAAGACTAATTACCAGACTTATCGTCAGAGCAACCTAAAAGTCATTCTGAATTTAATCCTTGTATATTGTATTATCAAAAAACAGCCCCCCCCCAAATAAAACCCCTCTTCAAAATGCCCCTCCTGCCCCAGCCCTTCCTTTCTCACCAACTGGTTGGAGAAATCTTCCTGGAGTGTCTTACCTTCAGATTCTAGTTTTTCTGCATTGAGAGGGCTGGTTGGTGACCCTGTCGAGGACTTCCTGCCACTGAGCCCTGAGATCATTGCCATAGAGGAGAGTCTTCCAATGGCTCTCACAGCATTACCTGTTTTCTGGAAAATAGACACTGGGATTGGACTCAGGTGGTGTCCCTGGTTCCCGCTGGGCAGTGGGGCGCAGGGAGAAGAGCCCAGCCCAGGAGAAGCAGCTGTCCGTGGAACGAGGCCTCCCAAGTACCGACGTTCTGCCAGAGAAGCGAGCCCAACCTTGCTCTGCTCAGCACTATCAGTGTGTCAGAAGATGTTCGGAGAATGGAATGGGGCCTGGAACCGATGTGTGCGTTAATGTGACTAAACAAGGTCAACATGAGACAAAAACCCTTTTCATACTGTGCTTCAACTTCCCATAAAAGGGATAGTTTATATAAAGCAACTGCAGGCTGAGACAGCTCCAAAGACTTATTGCCGATGGGGCCCAGTGGGGCTGTTTCTCGTAAAACAATGCTAGTGATAGGATTTTAATTGGTCAAGAAAATAGTTATTATAGATCTCACAGGCCCTCATGCAAGGGGGTAAAAAGTATAGTATTGACCCTGTGCAAGTCATTTAACCTCTCTGGGCTTCACTTTTCTTCTCTGCATTAGGAGGGGTTTGGACAAGATCTCCAAAGTCTCATTTAGTTCTGTTTATGATTCAGATACTTAAGAGATTTTGAGAAATAGTCTGGCTGGCCCCACCACAAGTCTATGAATGCACGGTAAAGTTCTGGAGGGGTGCTCTTCCTTGACATACACCCAGGCATCAAAAAGAAGCACCCGAAGAAATGCAAAGCAATGGCATTTTGTTTTTCTGAGTCGAGGCACCTTGAGAATGGACAGAATTTCTGCTGAAAAGGAAGCCAGAACTTGAGATGAAAATTTCTCAACAGTGTGAAAAATTCTACCAAGCACAGGATTTAGGTCAAATACATATTATCCCCCCAAATATACAATGTGTCCATGTTTCTTACATTTAATTAAGGTTTCTCACCCCTTTTCTAAGGTTAATGGGATAACTAAGATAAGAAACTAAAGCATAATCAATTCCTTCCACCACTGCATGCAAAGCATCTTCAGGCACCTAGACACTGTGCATCCAGAGCAGGTGTCATTGCAGACTGGCTGCTGAGCGAGTAAGGACACTGGCAAATGGCTTGCACTCACCTACTGGACTAGAACTGTGCTAAAGTTATTTCCTTCCTGAGTTAATGTCATGCATCCAAGTATTTCAGTAAAGCCTTGCAATTCTGGACTAGCTGGAAAGCCAGTATGCTTCAGTAAAAAGAGTATTTTGAAAGTAAAGAATTTCAGACCACTAAGGAACCATACAGAAGTGTGTGTGTGTGTGTGTGTGTGTGTGTGTGTGTGTGTGTGTGGTTTAAGTGGTCGCCTACTACTGTGACCATGATCACTTTGCTGTTTTGTCACATGCCGTCCTTGTTGCAGACAATTTTCATGCACTTGGAGCAGACATTCCATCCTGCTCTGTCTGTCCTCTGGCCATCCACACTTTGAACTACATCACTGTGTGGTGTGGGTAGGTTCTGGCCCTCTACTCACTATGGTGACACTGGGTCAGTCCGAACAGAACCCAGGAAGCCCCAGGTGGAGGTGATGAGTTGGGAAAGAAGGTGAGATGTTGACAGACCAACTTAACTCTGCGCAGAGGCAATGTGGCCCTGCAGAGGATGAGACCATTTGGCAATCTTGCATGCTCTTCTGGAGCAGGCTGTTACATAGATCTGTTTGTTGTGCTAGCCAGAGTGTTGAGAGACCCAGATCTTCCCACAGTAGCTTCCCTTGACCTCTGGAACACATAAGGGGTGGAAGAGACCGGCAACTGTCCATGTCAGACCAGGCTACTTTCTAATTGGCCAAACTCGAAGTCTGCCTTCTCTTTCAGTTTCCTTTATCCAGTACAGGCTGCTTTGCTCTGGCCAGGAGTATCTAAACTAAGGAGTTTGATTACTGTGTGACCTTGTGCAAGTCGGTTCCCTTCTTGGGGCCTCATGTCCTTGAATCAGATTTAATCTCCCCACAGGTCTAGTCTTCTACAGAAAGAGCAGGATTCATGCTTGTGAATATGCATCAGGGAACACTCCCCCTGAGCTCCTGGGCTCCCTAATTCCAAACACCTGATTGTGACTGGCGAGGACTGTCTTCACTCTGGTGTGAAATAATGAAGTCTTTCCTCTTCTATTAACAAAATGACTAACATGAAGTTACCAGAACAAGGCAAATAAAAGAGTTATAATGTTTTCAAGGAGGTGGCAAATTCACACTAACAAATAGACCATACATGGGGGAAATTTTCCAGCAGATGGAACAATAGAGCATATCATTTCTGAAACAGGGAGAAATGTCAGATGTGCTTAATAAGGAAAAAAAAAATCTATGCCAGAATTCAGTCTTTGGAAATTGATTTATATAAAAAAAAATTGGTAGGGAAGTTATTTATCACAACTAGGAAAGAAATATATCTGTATGTTCTAGTCTTCCAATTTCATGCCTTTGAGCTGAAAATTGGTTGCTGTTGACCTTTGGAAATTTTTGGAACATCAAGACAGTGAAGATTTGATTCTTTAAGTTCCATCTTCGTTTTGAGGAAGGCTTTTTCTTGTTTGAGGGCAATGGCCAAGGCTGGATTCCTGCATTCCAAGCCAGTAGCATCTATACTGTAGCAGATTCCCTCCTGGGAGAGCCAGCTAGTGTGGCTAACCAGCTTCTGTGCCCAAGACTGAAGGGCTTCTCAGGATAAGGGTCTTTCAGTGCTAATGCTGAGACAGTCCCTGGCAAACAGAGCCAGCAGGTTATCTTAGAGCCAGCCAACTGTCATAGACCTTATACATACCAACAGCCCCAACATTAGGATTTCCTGAGAGAAGTGCATAATATCCAAATGTGATTGTCAAGTGTACTCTCTGTTGTATTGCATCCAAAGCTTTCCTCCCCATGGCCCTTTGGTCCATACTGTGGGGGTCTTTGTGGTTCCCAGGAAATAAATATGATTGCCCATCGGTCTCTACAGTCCTAGTTTTTTGCTTCTTGTTTTGCATGCAGAAGCCCTGCTATCCTGCTCATCTTGCCCATCCTCAGTGCTGCTACTCACCACTGTATCATTTAAAAATTCTTTTGATATAAATCAAAGAACATACCCTCTTTCAGAATAACTTCATTCTAAGATCAAAATATGATTAGCTGTCTATATGGCCTCATGTACAGAGATTTGGTTCCATGTTACTTCCTTCTTCCTGTGTCTTTCATGAGACCGTACCAGAATGAGAACAAGGAACCTTCTTATGCATCTATAGAGAGTTCTGGGCTACCTGGGCCTGCCCTGCTCCTTTCCCTCCACCATAGTCCGCCCCATTCTGTTCTACTCCACCCTACCCTGCCCCACCACACAGAACCTCGCTACTCTGACAGGGAACCCCCTTAGGAGAACATTTTCCTCAGCGAGCAATGTAACACAGGATGGTCAGATGCAGCTGAACTATTACAAAAGAAATCATGCATCAGGGACATTGTACATCAAATGGGATTTTGTGGTCTACTTTTGAGAAACCTAGCCACAGTTTTTTGTGAAAAAAATCATTTCCAAGTGCTGCTACCTATATTAAAATGACTTTAAAATTCCTTCTCTGAATTCTGCCCTTTTCTTCCAGAAATTCTACTCCTCACTTCCAGAAAACCCTATGACTAATAACAGTGTAAACAAAAAAAATTTAAGTGATTAAAGCATCAGCACAAATTATGGTTCCTGACCCATTAGATGAAAAAATTCCATTTGCTCCGTCTCCCATGTCCTTATCTTTCCTCCATGCTTGCCTGAAGGAGGGGGGCAGAGAGCGGGGGGTCTCCAGCAGGGAGCTGGAAGTGATAGGGCGAGAGGTTGCCCCTTAACCTGCAGCCTCACCCAGGCAGAACCCGCTGAGACTCCCTCTGAGGACTGCCCCACCCCACCCAGCCACCCTATCTGGTCCAAAAATACTGCTATTTCTTTGAGATCTGTTGGCCATTGGGTCATTAATAAAGTTAATCTTTAATTTTTGTGAACACTGTTTTGTTTGTAAGATTATTTGCTACTTGCCCTGGCTGAGTAGCTCAGTCAGTTAGAGCGTCAACCCAATACGCCTAAGTTGCTGGTTCGATCTCTGGTCAGGGGACATATAAGAACCAAGCAATGAATGCATAAATAAGTGGAACAAAAGAAAAAAATCAATGCTTCTCTTTTTTGCTCTCTCTCTCCCTCGCTCTCTCTCTCAGAAAAAGAATATTTGCTACTCTGATATTACTGGATCCTAATGGCACCAGAGGGCAAGGTAAGCAGCACAGGTATTTCAACTCACCGGGCACTTGAGGGATGCCAGGAGATCCACCTACATCTTCACATGGGGTGGGGTTGGGGGTGGGGGTGGGAATCAAGAGCTGACACTGACTGTGGGGGTGTGCCTGAACCCAGGATGGTAGTCCCTTACACCTACCCACCCAAAGTCCCTCCTCTGTCTCCACTACTACTCTCAAACTTTGTGTGCAGTTGTACTTCGTGAGGAAACTGGTTTAGTCATCCTGGCAAATTACCAGTGTCCCAGTTGCCCCTAAAACAGCGAGTTCCTTTTTTGCTGCCACGCACACTGGATTAAATGCCTAGGTCCCCCGACTGCCCAGCTAAAAGGCTCTGCTGCCATTGGGTCAGCATAACCAGGTGAGGCTCAGTTCCCACCTCTGTGCCTTTTCCTCTGCCTCTGCTGTCATCCCTCTTCTGTGCTCTCATCTGTGTCCCATGACCAAGTTTAACCTCCAGCCCTGGCATCATTTCCGCACAACCACATCCGAGTCCGGCGTGACTGGCTCCATTCTCTTGTCCACACTCACATATAAGGCTATGGGGAGCTATACTGATAGTTTATAATTCTTGGTGGGTGTAATGTCCTTTTATGTCTATTTGCTTCAGTTCCTCCATTACACTATTCATTCCTTGAGTATAGAAACCATGTATCCTCCAGCAGCCTGGGAATTTTATAACACTAATAGTGATAGTAAAATTAATACAGTAGATGATGATAAGTTCTCTATGGTTTCTGAGGACCATTTTATCCACCTGCTAAAACTCTAAGGCAATTTTGTGTCATTGTCAAGACTGTGTGCTTTGGAGCCAGGCTCTGGATTTGACTCCCGCCTTTCTCACTTACCACTAAGTGATCCTGGGTGACTTTCCTAACCTTTTCCTGCCTTTGTTTGAAAAGTAGGGATAATATAAAACCTACCTCTAGGATTAAGACTTAATGCATAGAAAGTGCTTTGACTGTTTTCTGACACACAGCCAGCCCTTCATACATATTAGCTACGGGTGTAATTTTTGGACGTGTGCTATGTGCCAGGCAATGTGCTAAAGGCCAGATAAAGATTATCTCATATAATTCTCACAACGATGCTGTGACATTGGTATTGTCCTCACTTGACAGCTGAGGAAACAAAGGCAGAGCAAGGTTAAGTCACTTACCTAAAGATACATAGCTAGTAACATACGCTCTCTCCAGAAGGCGGGCCATGTTGAAGGTCATGTGCCCTCCCCCTTCATCACAAAGAAATGTAAGATCAGCCCTGGCTGGTGTGGCTCAGTGGATTGAGCGTCAGCCTACAAACCAGTCGCTGGTTCAATTCCCAGTCAGGGCACATGCCTGAGTTGCAGACCAGGCCCTCAGTGGGGCAGGAGGGGTGCTGTGTATGAGAGGCAACCACACATTGCTGTTTCTCTTCCTCCTTTCCCCTCTCCCTTCCCCCCTATTTAAAATTAAATTAATAAAATCTTAAAAAAAAAAAAAAAAGAAATGTAAGAGCATCACACTACCTTTAAGGAGATCACATTGTCCAGGGGTGACATTGCTCATCCCTAGCCCCAAGTCAAGAAATGCTAGCCTTGGTCCCAGACTATTTTAGAAACAGATTTAAACATTTTTGGAATGAGGCTGGGGCAAATTGGGAATGAGGATGGCTTGAAAAAAGCAAATATGAGGAGCAACATTCCAGTCCAAAGTGACCCTCTCATTACCTGCCATTTCCTTCTTGCCATGTACTTTTTCATCCGGTCCTTGGAGAGCTTCTTGGCCTCCATGTTCTTGGTGTCTTTCATTAGCCATGGATGCTGAAGGCACTGGGTGCAGTTCAGGCGGCTTCTGATAGAGGCAGAGATCAGAAGATTCTAAGCAGGAGGAGACCTCAGAGACTGCTGGTCAGATCATAAATGGGAGGATATGTGTCCCTAGTCCCACAGGGAAGAGCCCAGGGCTCTGCTCCCAGTCCATCCATCATGACCAGTGTCACTGTGCTCCTGGCTCTTTTCCTCTCTTGCTCTGGGTTACCGAATAGATGCAGAACAGGTTAGGATTAAGAAGGCCCAACTGCCAAATAAGCAACTGGAGTCTCATGACCTGTTCTTGGGGTCTAGGAAGGGTAAGTGCTGGAGGGCAGACATGTCTGGGAATGGCTGGCCCATATTCCAGGGTGGGGTCATTCTGCTGGTCACATGGGAGTTGGTAGCTAAAGAGACCTAATCCTTCTGCCTTTCTCTCTGGTGGAGGGGTGAGTGAAACATTAGGTCCAAATCTTGGAGAATCTCTAAACTCTCATGTCTTATGTTGAGGCTGAGTATCAGGTTTTTTCCTGCTCAAACTCAAAGAGCTATATCCTACATAAAATCTATGCATTATGATGACCTTAGAACCCTGCTGAAACTCATTTAATCTTTCCGAAAGCTCTGGGAATCCAGAAATATTTCAGGGACATCACCTTAATTGTAATAGGACTAATAGAGCCCAAAGAACCAAATGCTAACATACATAGTAAAATCAGTAGAAGTAAATTTTCTAAGAATAGCAAAATGTAGTGATCTTTAGATAAAGGGATTATGAATTATTTAATTTTCTCATATCCAATTTTCTATAATTTACATGCATTACTTTTATAATAGAAAAACATTTTAAAAAGGGCTGATAGATGAAGATTTCTGGATGAAGAAACTTGCTAAGTTTAAGAGTTTATGGGAATCTAGTATCTTGATCTATTTGAAATCAGTGTTTTGGTGAGTGCATTTTATGAGCATAGAGGGGCCAACACAGCTCATTGAATTAATACAAGGTCAGATGAGAAAACAGGGTATACACATAATACATCATTTACCAAATCTTCAGTGAATGAGGCCATCCTTGGACCAGAGTTATTGGGAAAGAGGCTTGCATTTCTGATGCACCTTGGGAGTGAGGATCCTTCACACTAGAAGCAATTCGAGACCTCCCACAACATCCAGATTTTCCTTAGCTCATGCCTACTTCTGATACAAAGATCATGACTGAAAAACGCTAGAAGCCCTCACAGTCAAGGGGTGTGGAATGTAGCCTCTGGAGGAGCTGGCCCTAAGGTTGGCTAGAAAGGACAAAGAGGTGGGTGGCCAACCACAGCACCAGACAGAACCATCTCAGAGACCCTCCAGCCCTGTTTGCTTAGCAACTGAGTTCTCCTGTTCCAGGCAGGTTTTTTCCTAGAGGGGAGCAAGATGACTAACAGCCTGGGCGAATCTGTGGGTCCCAAGTACATGGAAAGACCTAGGCCACTTAGTCACCTGGCAATGGCAGAGCCTCCTACCTCCCCCTGGAGTTGGGCTGCCTCTCCCTTTCTCATTGTTTGTCACACCATCTAGTTCAACGCTACCGTTCTTGGGCAAAGCTTGTAACTGCTTCTTCCTGCCAAATCAACTTCTTGGGGCCGAAGAGCCAGGCCCTGCCTCATCTGGCCACCTGCTTACAAAGTGCAGGGGGAGCCCAACAGGCCAGCTGCTCTCAGCTGATACCCCCACTACTCTCTTCCCCTGGGATGAGCCAGCTCTCCCAACACGCACACAGTCCCTCCCACCTTCCTGATTTAATTTAGCTGGTTCCCCTCACCAGGTGAGTCTTTATCAATGAATTGTGTCTTAGACACACTCAAGGCTTCCTCCAACCTCCACTCCTGTGCTCTGAGCTCCTCTGCAACTTCAACCTCCATTCTTCTTTCAGTGAAATACTTACGGAGTGGAGTGCCTTGTGTATCTGACCTTCCCTCATGGCCTTTTCTTATATGCCTGTACGCACTGGCCTACCACTTTCACACCTGTTTTATATATTCATCCACAGACCACAGACCACAGACCAGGAGGTGGTGGTGGGGAACCTCACATGTTGCACTGTTGTGGGGGAGTGGGGTGGAGATGGCGCTGGGAGAGGGTTGAGCCCAGCCGTCTGGGATAACAGTCTAACTTTGGCCAGTGGGAAAGGTACCTGGCCATATTCAGGAAGGTAGTTCTTAAATAATTTAGATATGAAAAACACCAAACCAGGATAGTCTGGAGAGATGATCAGGACCCACAAACAGGAGGGGCTAAGTTTTCAGCAGGGTTTCTATAGGCCACACTGGACACGGAAAATAAAAGGGAGCCGTCATTATTCATACACAGCAAGCAGCCACTCTCCCGCAACACGTGGCTAAGTGTGCTTTTCAAGTGAGGTTCCGGTGTTTTTAAAGCCAAGTAGTGTCTGGCACCGGGGAGCAGAGGCCTAGAAAGACCCCTTCCCTTTCCCCCACCCTCCCTCCCTCAGGTGTGGAGGGACCCATGACAGGCAAAGGAAACTCCTGCCTTCAGACACTAGTTGAGTGAGTGGGGAAGCCAAACAGATTGAAATCTCAATTCATTACTTCATATCTTTCTTCAGCAAGTTGCTGATAAAATCCTTGGCATCATTGGAGATCTCATCAAATGCCTCATCGTCGAAGTCCCAGGTGGCTGAGGTAACGTTGGCTAAAGTTTCGTTATCATTGTCACCCATGAAGGGGGAAAGTCCACTGACCCTGAGAGAAAAGAGCAGGAGAGCAGGTGAGTTTTTGGTGGTAGGTTGCAGGGTAGATGATCCCCTCAAGTGAGTGCTGAGGTCAAAGGTGAGGGCCGGCAAGCCCTGCGCCCCTAAGTGCCTGGCTCTCCTCCCACTTGGGGAAGGAAGAACTCCCCAGGCTATTGTGGTTCAGCCTCTTCTCAGTGCTCACTGCACTTCTGGGGTGTCGCCTGCATCTTGACACTACCTGTCTATGAGGCTGAGGCCGGAGGATTTTACTGCCATTAACAACTTTCACAGTACACAGCATAGCCCCTCCTCCCTGTCTTCTATTCTTCCCCAAAGCCCAGGCTAGAACTTCACCCCACAGAACCTTCTCTAAGGTCCCAGTGCTCCTGTCCCCTGACCATGGACGGTTGCGTGGTATATAGTTCCCGTCCCCGCACCTGTTGGTCCCTGCTCCAGTCAGCACCAAGCACACATAGATGCGTGGCAAGGATGGGTGGGTAGATGAATGGGGGACTTGGAGTTGCCAATGTGGGTTTAGTATCCATCTACACTTGAATTCAGTGCACTGGAGGCATTTAAGTCAAACCAGAAAGCTTCCATAAGAGGCGCCATGGTGGAGGAAAGAACACAGCCTGTTCATTCACTGGGTGACCTTGGACAACCACCCTAAATACTCCGTGTCACAGATTCCTCTTCTGTAAGAAAGGAAGTCCTACTACTTAACCACAGAGTGGTTGCCACTTCTACCTCTCCTTTTGTTCCTGCTCCTTCTCCTCCATCATCACCATCATAGTAGCAAACACTCATTAGACATTTGCTATGTGCCAGGCACTGGACAAAGAGGTTAAAATAGATGAACTCATTCAATCTTAACATCACCCTATAGTGCAGGTGACTCATCAGTTGTTTAACAGATGAGGAAACTGAGGCACAGAGTAGGGTTAAGTAACTTGCCCAAGGATTCATAGCCAGTGAGATTTGAACCCAGGTGTTACAACCACAAAACCAGCTCAAACTGGTCCTATCCTGTTTAACAAGATGCTGAGTCATTTTTCAGACACAATAGACTAAAATCCTATGTCATGCAGCCAAAGCATGCACAGAAGAGAGAACTTGGACCTCCAGCTGCACCTGGAACTAAAGTCTCCCCACCCCTGGCCCGACACACATGGAACCAAAGGACTGGGACATAACTGGAACTTGAATGCCACAACCCCTTCAGGAGTGCAGGGTTGGCTGTCGAGGAAGATGCAGTGCCGGAGCCCCTTACCATAAATGGCCAAGCTCCAAGTTCTCCAATTAAGACCTGCCCCAGCAGCACTTCTGCATACCTGTTCCCCCAGCCCCTTAAAAGCCCTTGACTTAGTCCAGCGAGCAAGATGGTTTTGAGGCATTACTAAGTCTCCCATCTTCTCGGATGCTGCCTTCTTGATCAATAAACCTGTCCTTAGTCCAAACTCTGACGTTTTGAGTTTTGGCATTTCAAAGCATTGGACACATGAAGTTGGGTTTGGTGACAGCACCTCTAGAGCTTGAATCTTAAGCCACGTTATATGAACATTCCTTTGAAGATGAAGTAAGTCGTAGCGCACAGACCTGCATGAGGCTTGGTTTACAGGAAGGAGCTCAGTTCATGACCACAGATACCATCCTTCTTCTGTATGTAGTTCATCCCCATTGCCTCACCAATGTGCGACCTCAGGAATGACTCATTTGCCCATAGCTTAAGCCAAATAAAATTCAAAAGGTAAAACGTCTCAAAGATTAATAGAACAGCTTTATGGCTTATTGGCCTCACTTCTCACTTCTGAGCACTTCATTGTCACACCAAGTACCCAAACTCCATTCACCCTGACCTAGGGCCGGCCTCACAGTTGCGCAGCGCCCCACCCTTAGGTGGGCCCCACTATTGGTTTAATGTTCCCCTGCTGTCATCTTGAACCTCTTAATAATGTTTGAACAAGTCACCCCACCATTTTATTTTGCACTGGGCCCCAAGAATTATGTAGCTGGTCCTGCCGTGACTCCACCTGAGCCCCATGAGATGAGTCTGGGGTGTTCACGCCATCAAGCTCCCAAGTTAAGGCTTCACTAATGTTCTTTCTCCCAAATCTTTATGCACCCATCATCATAAACAATGACACAACCCTTCTGGAGCTCTTTTGGCATTCAAGAGATTTCAGCTTATGAAATACACCTGTACCCAAAAACTAAGTTTTGTAAAACAAAACCCACTGAAATACAGTGAGAAAACCTTGACATGGAAGGAACTCTGGTAAAACCTTTGATGAAAAGAAGAAAGCTGTTGTAATGTGGATTATCTCACCCTAATCAATAGATTTGTGTTTTGATAACAGAGTTTTATAGATGGAATTCAAGTGTCTTAAAGCAAAACGCCGATTTGTTTGAAGAATGCATGGACACTGTCCTGATCAGTCACATTGCGTGGGGGAAGCGTGAGAGTTTCTCAGCCCCTGAGTGTGCACCATTTTATTCTGCTCCTTTCCCCACTCTGGGCTCCAGTTTCCCCTTCTTACACCAAGAGTACTGGGCTAGAATTCCCAGTGGCTCCCAGCTTTCCTATCTTTACAATCTTGTGTGACCTGTTAAAAACAAACAAACAAAACAGGCTCAAAATGGACTGATTTGCCCTTGCAACATCAAACCAAGACTTAGTCGTAACTTCAGCCACTTCCAGAAATGTAATCTTTAAACTGTCAGTCTGAAACTTCCTGATTAGTACTGCATGACAGAAGCCCTGCTGTCCCCTTCCCACCAAAAGAAGAGGACCAGGCCTGAAATAATCTTTTCTTTTCTGTTGCTGTGACTTCTTTGCCCCACCCTCCTTTTCCCTATAAAACCCTTCCATTTTGTACGGCCGGCCACCAGGGGCATTGCTCCGTGTACAAGACAGGATGCTGCCAAATTTCTGAATCGTTGAATAAAATCAATTTGATCTTCCCATTTATTCGACTAAATTTTTGTTTTGGCAGACCTAAGTTAGCCCATCAAGAAGCAGCCTGACTCTTGTTTGTCAGCCACCTGCTTCCTTCTGTTTTTACAGTTTCCATTTGAAACATAGAGGGGGAAGTCCTGTGGCACTCCAAAAGACTGCAGAAAAAGCAAACAGCCCTGCTGTGGAATGCTGAAAGGTCCCCTTCTGCAAGCCTCCTTTCCTAATTAGGAACTGTAATCCTGCAAAGATAGACCTTAATCTCTGTAATGTTCACAGCCTGGGAGAGCCTCCTCACCTCTGACCTCTGGGGCTCCTCCTTTCTGGCAATGCATCCATCTGAAATACCCCAGCTGGCGCCTGGCCTGCCCGAGCTCCCCCAGCATTGCTCTCCCCCATTAACGAGCATGTCTCTAAAAGAAAACTTGGAATATATGCAGAGCATGATGACAAAGAGAGTGTTCTAATTTTAGTAATGCTGTTTCTGGGTGGTGGGATTTTACAGATTTTTTTTTTTTTAACTTTCTTCTTTGAACTTACACTTTATTGCCAGGATTTACATAAGGATCATGCATCTTTTTATTAAAAAAGTAACCCAGTAACAAACAGAATAAACTTAGCATTAAAAATTCAACCACTCACCTCTCTTCCTACTCTTGCCTAGTTTTTAACTGAAGGGGATCAGAGTACACCACTCCAAAAATATCGCGTAAGGATTGTTTTGAACTGAAGGCAATTAGCTCTCTGTCCTCCCTCTTTCTGTCTAAAAGCAGGCCATAGCCCTGGCTGGTGTGGCTCAGTGGACTGTGAGCTGAAAGGTTACCAGTTTGATTCCCAGGCAGGGCACATGCCTGGGTGGCAGGCCAGGTCCCCAGTTGGCGGACATTTCTGATTGCTGTTTCTCTTGTATGTCAATGTTTCTCTCCTCTTCTTTCTCCCTCCCTTCCCCTCTCTCTCAAAATAAATAAATAAATATAATCTTAAAAAAAAAGTCCATACTACCCAAAGAAATTTATAGATTCAAAGTAATCCTTATTAAAATACCAATGACGTATTTCACAGAAATAGAACAGACATTTCAAAAATTTATATGGAACCATAAATGACCCCGAATAGCTGCAGCAATTTTGAGAAAGAAAAACAAAGTAGGAGGGATCACAATACCGGATATCAAACTACACTACAAAGCCACTATACTCAAAACAATCTGGTACTGGCACAAGAACAGTCCCATAGACCAGTGGAACAGAATAGAAAGCCCAGAAATAAGCCCAGGTCTATATGGGCAACTAATATTTGACAAAGGGGGCAGAAGCGTAAAATGGAGCAATAATAGCCTCTTCAACAAATGCTGTTGGGAGAGCTGGACAACTATATGCAAAAAATTGAAATTTGATCATCAGCTGACACCATATACCAAAGTAAACTCAAGATGGATAAAAGACTTAAATATAAGTCGCAACACCATAAAAGTCCTAGAGAACATTGGCAGGAAACTCTCAGATATCCCACGCAGCAATTTTTTCACCAGTAGGTCTCCTAAAGCAAGGGACATAAAAGAAAGAATAAACAAGTGGGACCTCATCAAAATAAGAAGCTTCTGCATGGCTAAAGAAAACATCAGCAAAATGAAAAGGGAGCCAACTCTATGGGAAAATATATTTGCTAATGATACATCAGATAGAGGTTTGATCTCCAAAATATGTAAAGAACTCACTCGACTCCACTCCAAGAAGATAAATGATCTAATTAAAAAATATGCAAAGGACCTGGGCATCACTAGCCATCAGAGAAATGCAGATCAAAACCACAATGAGAAACAACCTCACACCGGTCAGAATGGCCATGATAAACAGATCAACAAACAACAGGTGCTGGAGAGGCTGTGGAGAAAAGGGAACCCTAGTACACTGTTGGTGGGAATGCAGACTGGTGCAGCCACTGTGGAAAGCAGTGTGGAATATCCTCAAAAAGCTGAAAGTGGAACTGCCTTTTGATCTAGTGATTCCCCTACTGGGACTATACCCTAAGAATCCCAAAACGCCAATTCAAAAGAA